AAGTCTGCACTACAATGAGCAATCTTAAAGAAAAATAAATGGTTACAATTGATAAAATAGCCATTGAGATATGAGTAACATGCTCCTGTTTTTTTTTTAAAAATAGGTATAGAACTAAAAGTGGATAAGCAATAAGAAAAAATGTATGAATTCAAGTCAGCAAATTTGTTCAGAGTATAAAGGATCTGCAAACAGGGGAAAGAAAACTTTCATCAAGCACAGGAAATAAAGGACTACAACAAGAAATCAGACATATTTTTTTGGAGCTGAAGAACTACAGAATTACACTGACAAGATCTCTGTGAGGGTTCCAGAGCCCCATTGTAGGGACATACAAGAATAGACCCATCACCTCCCTAAGCATGCTGTAAGAGTCGAATAATTGGGGGTTAAGTCGGAGTGCATCTGCCTGAGAGGCCAAGAACTAATAAATCTGCATACAATCAAGTCAGATCTGTCAAAGTGATGTGCACACAACACTTAGGTTCTGGAAAAAGACTTAAGTCCAGAGGTGGACAAACAACAAGAAGTTACAGAAGTTACAAGAAGTTACTGCCGAAGTTACAGCCAGTGTACGCGAGAAAGAAGAAGATAAACAGGTAGAGATATTATCACTCTGCCAGTGACTGCATGTTACCAAGAATTAATAATAATCTATGGCTGGAGAAATACAAAATGCAAACTACCTATGAAATGCACTGTCTCTGTAAGGTCACTAAGAAAACAAGAAGGAACAGGGTTAAGAATACCAGCATTCCAGAGAAAGTTAGAATAATACTGCCTCTGAATTATACTGACTAAGAAATGGTTTGGTCATCCATCTAGTGAGAGTGCAGCCAGACTGCATTTGAGACCTTTTTTTTTTAACAGCTGAAAATTTGGGAGGAAGGCAAGGGAAAGGCTAAGAAAGAAATGGATAAATGGTGCAGCTGAAACCTGCAAAAAGATGGAAAAAAATCCACTACTGCGAAGTGCAAGACAAATACAGAAAACAACAATGCTGAGCTACAACCTGGATTCAGTGAGAGGACAAATGAAGAAAGAAGTATTTAACAACAACCACCTGTGACAGAAAGTATGCCAGACATCTAAATTGTCTTGGACTACCAAAAGAATGCATGAGTTGTTTGGTACTGAAACAGTCAAATTAAAAGGAGAAAAACCCACAGTAAACTATCATGGAACAGACTATGACACAATCGACAGTAGACACCTAAAATGTACAAGTCAGAGTTTCTGCAATCATAGATGCTTTATAAAGATGCACAGAAATGAACAGTCAAGAGGTTTCTGCAGTCATAAAGTCAAACAGTTCACTGCCTCTACAAAGGAACATAACATCCAGTTGTTACCAACTTGGTTATGAATGTGAGTCAGGTATTGGAATAACTGCAACAGTGTTAGGGTAAACAGGGCACTGTCATGCAAACTGTGGCACTTCTGTTCAGACTGTGTTGCATTAGTCCGGTCATATGTTTTCCCACAAAAACCACCCATTACTGCCTGATTATTTATTATAAACGCTAACATGGTTTCATATGCCATGACTATCACTTAAAAACATTAAGCTACCGGAAATGTGCAAGGAAAAAAAAATGAACGTTTTTATCAAATATTTGACACTTTATCCCATGAATTTTGTTTCTGTTTCGTCAGAATTTAAAATAAAATAATTTAATGAATCAATAACACTAATAATTTATGATTAGTTTAACTGTTTTTCTATTGTCCAGTTAATGCAACAAAGCTGTGCATGCCACCATCAGCTTACATACTCACAGCTGAACACAACTTGAATTTATGGCAATTTTCATCACTGCCCTTCAATGTAGGATTCTGACTCATCTATGTATAACAAATAAGCACAAAAAAATCAGAATGCAGAGATGGTGAGAAAACAGGGATGACGTAATGGCATTGAGTATGTATGAAGTTGACTGAGATGTACTTTAGCAGAGTTGATGACATTAGCAAAACGAATGAACTATCTATTTATGGAAATGGAGGAAAATATATGAACAACCGGTAAGGCTAACCCGGTCAACAAATGCCCACAGAAGTCTGAAATGTTGGCCGAAAGGTGCAAATATCGCAGCCATGCTGTAAACGGACACAACGCAATTACATCTTCGGATGAACGCAGAAGAAGAAGCATATGAACATATTAAGTAGATAAGTCACAAACATGAGAACAGCCCACTAAGAGTCATCATATGGAAAGGACCGCACGGGAAAGAATGGACCCGACTGTAAGCCAGATGTGACCTAAATCGACACTACAAAAACATGATATTAAGAGCCTACAAACAACTCATAACAGGTTCAGGGTGTGGACTGAACAAATAAACTTTGCTTTCAAAGTGCTGGCATACGGGTCTTGTTAATATTCTGCCCTTCTCAGAAAGTGAAGACAAAGATTCATTTAAACAATGCGACCAGACAGCCAGCCAGTCTGCAACAGGAACAGAAGGAGAGAAAAATAACAACAAATGGTAATTACACTACATGACAGTACACACACACACTGAATAAACTGAAGGCTAAAAAAAAAAAAGAAAAAATGAAACTATAAATAAATCTTGCAACTTAAAAGTGGATAATGCACACTAACAAAGTCCTGGTTTGTTCGTCCATTTGGACTTTGACTCTGAGCCAGGGCCTGAGTTTTGCATGGACATCAATTTTACTAGCTTATTTGTGTGCAGCTGGTTGTTCCTTGCCGCTCAAGCAGATGCACTTTGAATTCAAAGGATGCTCCCAATTAGTTGATTCCTTGTCAGGAAGGCAGTGGGTCTATTCCCCCCCCCCCCCCCCCCCCCCCCCCAAAATAGGGCCTTAAACACACACAGGGAATAATAAAAGAATGTTAATGTCTTTGTTGAGAAAAATACTACATATCTTGGCAGAAGAAATATATAAAAACCCAGAATCATAAAATTAACAGATGAATTAATAAAATGCTGCAGAGATGATTGCATTTTTCCTTGTAACTTGAAGTAATGGAGAAATCTATGTTAACTCATGTTGGGTGCAAAAAAAAAAAAAAAAGATTTTAGAGTGAATCATTTGCACAGTATTTAATCTGAAATAAAATAAAGCACAAAAAACATAAGCGTCATGGGTGAATCCAGTTCCTCTTATCTTTCAATACATGTTTAAGGATGAACAATTTATTAATATTTTTAAATGTGTTTAAAAAACTGCTTTAAAAAAAAGCTTCACTTTGTTCAGACATTTATTTTAAAAATTAATGCTGTTAGCAAATACATTTTGGTTTACTTATGTCTTAATTTATATATATATATATATATATATATATATATATATATATATATATATATATATATATATATATATATATATATATATATATATATATATATATATATATATAAATAAATACGCTAGTTTTATAGATGATATAATCAGAAACATAGGGGTAACTGCACTAAACTAATTTACATATTTTACTTACTGAAAACCTGTGTTTAAAGTCAAAATGAACACAAATTGGTAACCTTTTTAACTTGACGAGCTTCACTTTATTAAACTTAATTAGCGAACTACAGAAAGTCAGCTTGAAAAGAAAGGGATGACCATCAGTGTCTCCAAAACTAAAACCATGGTGATCTCAAGAGAGGAGAAGAAACACCAGATCATGATGGGTCAGTATGCGTTGGAGCAGGTTAACCAGTTCAAATACCTTGGAGTTGTATTAGACCAAAATGGAGGCATTAAGACTGAGCTGGCTACACGAAAAGCAGCTGCTGGGAGACTCTTCCAGGCCATAAACCGAGGGTTTCTTAGCAAAAGAGAAATTGGCAAGAGGACGAAAATGGCTGTTTACCGCTCTACCTATGTACCAGTCCTGACCTATGGGTGTGAGTCATGGGCAATGACAACAGCTCACAGAAGCCAGCTGCAGGCCTCGGAAATGAGATACCTGAGAAAGGTGGTCCAAGTGACAAGAAGGGACAAAGTCCGCAATCAGACAATACGTCAAGATCTTGATACCCAGCCCTTACTAACCCGAGTGGATCAGTCACAGTTACGATGGTTTGGACATGTGTGCAGAATGGGAGAAAATCGGCCACCATGGCAAGCATGGGAGGCTAAGAACCAGGGAACCAGACCTCCGGGACGACCCAGGGTGCGCTGGGAAGACAACATCCGACAGTCCCTGACTGACAGAGGACTGGAATGGAACAAAGCCAGAAAGAAAACTGCTGATAGAGACGTCTGGCGATCTCTCTGGCAAACCTCTACACCCCAAGGTAGAAGAGGAGCGACTAAGTAAGTAAGTAAGTAAGTAAGACTACAGAAAGTGACAAGTTACTAGCTGTACACTAGTACTGGCCAAAAAGAATAATATACAGATGAAAGAAACCAACAGAAGGGCACAATAAATGATCAGGTAAAAGTGATAATTAACATACATTAGCACTCCAAATTTTCACAAAAATCTGACGACTTTCCCACTTGAAACCGGAAATCATTTTTCCTTCTCATGAATCTGATAAATTTCTAACCAAAATCTTCCATCAATGCAGACTACAGGCATACTTAAAATTTTCAGCATGTATGACTTCTGACCTCTCGTCTTCATGCTAATTTACATTTATGTGTCACCCAGATAGGACTACAACAGTATGCACTTCTATTCTGTCTTATCAATCACAAAAATAAATATTTTGAGCAGTGAAATTGATGTAATCTATTTCTTCGTAAAAATGTAATTGCAGCAGGCATAACTAAATTTCTGACAAAGGCTTAGCTTCAACTTAAGAAGAAAAGCACATCATTTATTTTTTCTGAACTCTACTTGTGGGTAGCAAAATAAACCTGGTAAATAGGGCCCAACTGGGTAATGAGAACTGGTTCACACCATAACAAAAACTTTCACAAAGATTTAAAAAAACCTACAAAAGAAGAGTTAAATTTGTCTAAAACGGCCATTTCACTGATCTATGAACCTGGTATAGGAAAACTGTCAATCTCACCCTGCGGCAGTGGGTAGCTGACCATCCCTTGACCCTGACCATTGAACTGCTGCTGTGCAGGCTGCACCTGTATACCTGCATACTGACTCATGGGCACATTCATGCTTCTGTCGATCGGAAATACAGACATTTGTCAGTCAATTTTTCATCTAGACAGGAAATGCATGTTTATCTAACTAAAAAAAATAAATATAGGACTTATTTGAGGTCTCTGGCATATCGGCACAAATTTCTAGACCTATACTGTTATAGAACAATCTGAATGTGATATGCGGCAACATGCCAGATTATCTCAAAAAGACTTAATTAGCATATTTCTGGCTAGCAAATTACAGTAATATAATCAGTGGACTTGGACTTCAGTAATTTCCCCTGGTCTGTGGGTAGTGAGACCAGACGCCCGTGTGCACTGTTGCGAACATAAAAAATCCCTTGGCAGTTGGAAATCGAAAAGAGTAGTCTAACGGCAATGCCCAGGCAAAATCTGGAGTTTAAAATCTACCCAAAGTATTTCAGGATCCTCACCAGTGCTACAGAGCCTGTACACTGTGCTGAGCTTCTTCAGACTCAGACTAGATTAGAAGAAGAACGGAGCCCTTATGGGTTACTGCCCGTGAGCCATGAGTTGATCAGTTGTTCACAACTTCAAGTGTTATAATCGTTAAATTCATTATCATGGTTCACCATTGCACATAATCACTAGAGTTTATAGAATAAGGTCTGCGTTATTTTCTTGATTGTACAATACGGTCTAGACATTCAGGCATCACCAAATTAAATCTGCCAGCAGTCACTAAGCATGGGAGTTTGTTTCTCCTCGAAACACCCCCAAAATATTGACCTTTCATGTTTAACATTACTAATCGGTTTAGTTTTCAGATTAATCAAATCAATATTATCATATATAATCATCAAATATGAACATTTAAAGGACACAAAGTCATCAAATTACTGACTCGGGGAGGACTTGAGTCATCAAGTTTTTAAAAAAGGGGATTCAAACCTATGGCCACTGGGCTAAAATATCACAGAGTGAATAATTAAAAATGCGCAAATTGATTATCTTAACTTCCTATGTCAGTTCCAGGACCAAACTGGCTGGGTGGTTGGGGAATAGATTGCAACTAGACTAGCTTGTCACAAATCTGACCAATTAACACTCTCCTGAAATCAGATGTGTTAGGTCTTGAGAAGCAGACACTGCAGTCTAGCTGCAAACCATAACACAAAATGCTAACTGCCCTTTTATGGGTGAATGAATAAAGGAGAATAAGATGCTGATGACAAAAATTACTTGTTTAACAATCTGTGTTTGTGCGCAGCCATAATGCCACATAGACTTCAACTTGAAATTGGACCAACAATGTAAACCACGGAAAAGAGAAAACTACTAGATCAAGAACAGGGTGGCTTATTCACATGACTTTTAAAAAATGCAATCAAATCATTCACTGAAAAATTTTCTCATACACATACTGATAAATAAATGAGTGAATGAATAAAATCAATTGAGAAATGATGTACTGCAGGAGCGACACATTCCAACACTTATAGACATGGCACATGATGATGTTACGACTTACCCATACGCCTGGTAGCTAGAATAACCTGGCCACTGTGCCGGAGCTGTAGGAATGTAGGGAGCGGCCTGTGGGGGCACAGGGCTCTGGTATGTTGGCGCAGTGGCTGCATATGGTGCTCCCTGATAATAACCCATACTGTAGAACTGGCCATAAGGTGACGCAGCTGGCGCGGCTGTGATTGGCTGCTGCTGTGACTGCACCATGACAATTGGTGGCTGCAAAACATAAATACGTCCAGAGCTTAAGGCTAAAGACATGGCAGGGCAAAACACACCTGGCGACCCATCTATGTGGGACTGCAGGCTATTTCTAATCATTTTGTGGTGTTTCATTATCACTGTACTGTATTGTTATGCTGTTGAGGCTATATGGCTGCGGCTATATGGTTAAGGCTATATGGTTGAACAGAGTTTCCGGGACCTGTAGCTGTTTGATTCTCATACTTGTGATATTAATCCCATAGAACAAAAAATCTGGAGAGAGAAAAGGGCAGGGCAGAAGGGTGGGGGGGGGGGGGGGGGGAAGAGAAGAACACACACATCTGGCTCAGTTCTAGAAGAAACCTTATAAAACAGACCTATATTTTTGAGAATCTTACACTCAAACCAGGGTAATTTAGCCCTAGAGAGCCGTCAGGGGTGCCCAAGAGTTGCATTACACATCGGGAGACAATGGCTGCATCGACATCTTCGATCTGTGGCTTAAATTATTTACACAAACCGATGGCAGCCCATGAGGATAACATTTGACAGTTATTGAGCAGAAGGAGTTAAAGTAACAATAAGGATAGAATGAGTTTAAGTAAAGAGAAATGCGATAGAAGTTTTAAAAGTTTTTCAAAAAATGACCTTGACTCCCAGGTCGACCCAGCCTTGAGTGGGTACTGGGTGCAGTCCCAGGAAGTAAAGGCAGCTGACACATCACCCATCTTGTGCCGACTGGCTAATAAAAATATAGGTCTAGCCCTACATGCTTGAAGGCATGGAAAAGGTTTACTTTTACTTTCACGTGTACAGAGAATAATAAACCTAGAGTGACTTGCCCGGCACTGAAAGCTAAAGTCTCCAGTTTGACATAAACAGCCCCAGAAAGAATGGATCCACTGTCACTTAACTAACATGTTGTCAAAGGTAACTAGCTCTGGATTTTCTGAAATTAGACGTGTTGAGTTAAAAGGTGCATATATCGCAGCCTAGCAAAAAACCACAAAACACTGTGCCAAACATCCTTTTAACATCAAATGCAGAAAATTATAATGATGAAAAGGAAGATAAAGGTGAATAAGAAGATAAGGAAGATGAAAATGAAGATAAAAAAACAAGAAAAAGAAAAGAACAAGAGAGGAGGTGAAGATGATGATGACAAAGAAGATGATGATGAAGAATATGAAGAAAACAACCAAAAGAATAAAAAGAAAACATCAACATAAGTACGGAATGCATCAAGTAAAACAGGCCTTACGCTGCTAGATGTCGACTGCTGGCTGGATGGATTCGATTCATTAGACTCCTTTCCCCAGGAACATTTCACTGGCTGGTCATTGATTGTGGTACCATGGACAGAACAAATAGCCTGTGTGGCAGCCTCTTTTGTGCCGAACCTGCAGGATGCGACAAAGAGAAATCAAGGATGAAGACCCGCAGATAATGCACTTTAAGCATGGATTTAACAGAAAAGGTTCAATAGACAACTGGAAAAAACCTTCCGCTGAAAGTTATTAGTGCTTTGTATCTGAAGAATGGGAAACTTTAAAAAAAAAAAAAAAAAAAACCATTCACACTACTGAAACTAATCATAGTAATTTGAGGAGGAAAAGGGAAAGGACCCTTTTCACCCCCAAGGCACACCAGCTGCATGAAGCCAGACTCATATTTGCTATAGACCAGACAGGTACTTGATCGATAATAAGTCAACACCCTGCTGGCCACCTTGACTTCCCAGGGCACTTCCTGGTACCCATTTAAGGCTGAGCCAACCTGGGACAATGTGTTCCTTCCTAAAATTTATTTCAAGAACTTGCAAAAAAGGATCTTTTATATATGAAGTTTGCTGCGATGCTGAGATCAAATTTAGAATAGCGTAAGAAAAAAATGGACATAACAGGGCTATTCAACTAGTGGCCCTGCGCACCAAATCTGGCCTGCAAATGCCTAGCAAGTGGCCCACGGATCCCTCGCCAACTGTATTGTATTAATGATCACTGCTGGTGTTCAGACCTATGGCCCAGGACCATCCCTATTTTCCAACAATTTGGCCCTCGACTAAACTTAGTTGAATGCCCCTGATGTAAGAGTTACAAAATGCAGTGGCCAGCCCACTTGCCTACCAGACTAGCTGTCGTGTGTTTGAATTTATTTTGATGCAGGGATGTTGTTCCACTGATATCATCATGATCATGTGCCTTGTCGACTGGCGTGCGCAATAATGCCACTCCACAATCTGCAGTCTTCAACAGCATGTATCAGTTTGTGTGCTGACACCCCTTTATGCCAGGATAAAACACTGTCAAGGGCCTCCTCATAGTGTTTCTCTTTCTTCACAGACTTTTCTAGTGGCCACAACATTTTTCAGTTACCCTCTTCTCATAACACGATCCAGAAAAATAATGCCCCGCTCGCTAGCTCAGTTGGTTAAACCTGAGTGCGCGGCGACAGGGTGACAAACTCCTCGTGGTCTGGGTTCATGACTGGGGGTAAGGCAGAAAAGCCACGTTTCTCCAAGATTTACTGTATTTATCACGGAATCAAGGTAAGACTTGCGATATCCATAGTACCGAGCCAAAGAGTTAACAACTCATAGTTTCTAAATTTAAAAAAAAAATTGATAGCTGTCTTTTTCTGATCTCTGTGTAAGTTGTCTTCAAGCCCTCACCTCTTTCAAAACATATGAGCTGATCTTTTCGGCTGTCCAAGGAGCTGTAATGATTCTCCTGTAAAATTACATCACAAGACCTCAAGAAATTGTCTGCCTGTTTGTAAATTGTCCAGGATTCACTGACATACATAATATAAGAACAGAAGACAAATATATAACGATTCGGCACATAGTTCTATCTCTCTGTGTGGGTGGGTGTATACAAAAGAGTGTGTGTGTGGCAGAGAGAGAGAAGGGGGGGGGGAGGGAGGGAGGGAGGGAGGGGAGGGGAAAGAGAGAGAGAGAGAGAGAGAGAGAGAGAGAGAGAGAGAGAGAGAGAGAGAGAGAGAGAGAGAGAGAGAGAGAGAGAGAGAGAGAGTTAAGCAAACTTACCGAATGAATGCGTAGCCTTTGTCTTTGAAAACACGCACTTCTTGAATAGTGCCATACTGTGAAAATGTCTTCCTCATCAGTTCATCTACAAAGAACAATCAGTGATAAAATATGTGTGCATTATCACTTAAACTACTGTTTAAATCTTCAACAAAAATATAGAACATTTCCACACACACACACATACACACACTCAAAAGTCATAATACAACTTATTTTCAAAATTTTGTTTACTTACATGAGTATTGTGATCTGTGGAGATGCATGAGCACCTACGCCAGTTGGCAGGGCACATGATGATGATACCATGAGTGTGTTTTCATACATTCAGTGTGGGGGATATAAAAAAAACTGCAGCTTGGAAAACAACAGCCTCAAATACTAGTCCCATGTCTACCTTGATAATCTATGTGACTGGTTTCAGTTCTAGTCTTTATCTAATTTCATTTTAAAATTTAGCTCTTCTAGTTACTCTGGCAACTCTCCTAAAACATCTCAATTCTGTTACGATTCTGTGTTCGTTTATTGTTGCAAGGATCCCTGTTTAACACTTGGCAGCATAAAGTTGGCCAAACACATTTAAAAAAAATTAGACTTGTCTTAATAGGCACAGGTATATTTCTATGTGTCAAAAGTAGTGTTAAGTTTCCCAGATTTGCTTTTGCACATTATATGGTGATTTATATATCCATTCTTCCTTCTAATGTAAGAATGGATCATAGATATTTAAGACTGGGAAGGATAACCCAGTCAACAAATGCCTGCAGAAGTCGGATGTGACCGCCAAAAGGCACAAATATCGCAGCCATGCTGTAAACGAACACTATGCAATTAATTTTTGGATGAACGCAGAAGAAGAAGAATAAATTTAAATTCACTATACTCTTCAAGACAGAAGAAAAGGCTGCAATCTCTGAATCCTGTTATATCAACATTTTCACTGCATAATCAAACTGTAATCATCAGATTCCCCAAAGACATGCGTTTATTGATTTAAAAAAATTATTGAGATTCTGGCTTCGTTGTTTTTATGACTATTTTATATTATTCACTAAATTATAAATGTTAGAAATTTAATTCTTTCTAATGAAATTCTAACAGAAAATTAATTTTCTAACAAGGGTCTTTTAGAGAGTCAAATTTATTGCAGCTTTGAAACACAACTGATATTCATAAATGTTAATCATAACTAAGTTTTTTTTTTTAAACCTGGTGATAGCTATTTCAACACACAATTAAAAAAATGCTCTTCCTGAAGATTATAAAACAAAGTTCACTCCAATACTGTGATAGAGGTGGGTAGTTGCTTCTAATATAGTATATAACACCACTATAAGAGAAAGAAAGAAAGAAAGAAAGAAAGAAAGAAAGAAAGAAAGAAAGAAAGAGAGAGAGAGAGAGAGAGAGAGAGAGAGAGAGAGAGAGAGAGAGAGAGAGAGAGAGAGAGAGAGAGAGAGGGAGGGAGAGAGGGAGAGAGAGAGAGAGTGAGTTAAAGAATCAGACCCGGCTTGAAACAAAATGACAGCTTAAGAAATAATTAGCTTGAAAAAAGAAAAGAAAAAGTGATTTTGAGAGTAGGCATGAGAGAAAGAGTGAAGGAAAGACTGGCATCTTGAGAGTAGCTGAAAGCTTCAGGGAAAAAGAAAAAAATGAGTTTGAGAGAGGGCTTGAGAGAAGGAGAAAGCATGAAAAAGAGAGAAAGAATGAGTTAGTCTGACAGGGACAGAAAGAAAGAGAGACCATGAAAGAGAGTGAAAGACTGAAGCAGCTGACAGGGACAGAGAGAAAGAAAGAGCTTGAAAGTGAATGAAAGACTGAGGCAGTCTCAGACAAGGCTTGAGAGAAAGAAAGGGCTTGAAAGAAGGAGAAAGCATGAACAAGAGTGAAAGAAAGACTGAAGTAGTCTGACAGGGTCAGAAAGAAAAGACAGGCCCTTTAGAGAAAGAGAGAGCTTGGAAGAGAGTGAAAGATTGAAGTAGTCTGACAGGGACAGAGTGTTAAAAAAAAAATGAGGCAGTCTCAGAGAAGACAAGACAGAAAGAAAGTGAATAATAGAGAGAGTGAGAGACAGATAATCTGAGAGGTCTTGACATAAAGAGAGCTTCATTGTGCGTGATAGACATAAAACAAGCTACAGAGCTTGAGAAGGAGTCTGCATGAGGCAGATAACTTCCTTCTTTGACCTCTTTCCTTTCTAGAAAATTTGGAATAGTTTTTTTTTTTTTTAAATGGGGCTTACCCAAGAAAATCACGGTTACGGGTTGGGAGTGAGAGGGAAATGTGTGTGATTGAATACTGGGTTCAAATAAACCAAAGGTTTCACTGTGTTGATGCCACAGGATCCTGATCCTGAGGTAGTTAGTGGTGGTGGAGGAGGAGAAGAAGAAGAATGCAGTGATGAACATTCCAATCCATTATAAAGTTAGGTATGCTCTTACTAACATTTATGCACTGATAACATGAATTGACGGCCTGAACATTAGACTTTCCTAAGAAAGATATAATGCTCTCAGTTCCTAGGTGGCGGCCCTGAACCAGGAAAGGGGGGAATTCGGGTGGGCAGGGAGAGAACTCTCATAAAAACGACTAGCCCAGGCAACCAGCACAGACATCATTTTGATAGCCGCACTCGGTGGTGTTCTCCAGGGACCAAGTCTCGGGCATCACCAGCCAAAACAAAGTTATTTTCCCTCAGCAATGTTTACTCTCTTCTATCCCATAAAAGTAATCGAAGAGGGAAGGATAACAGAGTAATCCCCCACTAAAGGCTTACATAAACAAGTAAAAAAGCAAGAGTTAATAAAACTACACTGTGTATTATTCCTATTTAGGCAATGAAAGATGGAAGGAAAACTTCCCATCTGGGTTTTGGGGGCTCTTTGTTTAAGAGTATCCTCCCCCCCCCCCCTTTCCAAAGTTAGTTGCTGTCCAGAAGCTGACAAACAACCAGTGACTGCTAAGTTAGTTAGTTGATAGATTATCCTCATTGCAGAACGAACCATTCAAAATGCTAAGATGAAGAAGAAAGGAAGGGAAAAGGCAACAAAGCTTTCTGAGAACCAGATACTGGGTAAGTTGACAAAATAGAACAAGGCAACTTCTACCCTAAACATAATGCTCCTGAGAAAATTTGTCCCATTTAAGCAATGGAAGATAGAAGGACAGCAGAGCAACAAAGCTTACAGAATCCTAAACAGACTGGATGAGTTAAAATCTGGACAAGGAATTGTGAAGATATGTAAACAAGTAAAATATTTCACTAAATTACTGCTTCAATATTTGTATTTTCTATTTATCCTACAGAACTTTGCTCTCCTTAAACCAGATATTTGATATATACCCCCAAAACAGTTCCTTTAGGAACACTAGCCTATAAATAATGATTCACAAACAATAGATACAAACAAACATAATCATCACAATGTAAATTTACAACTTTTGTTACAATGTTAACATTTCATGTTTACAAGACAACAATCTAAACAACTAGAGGTGGCTTTAGAAATAACTTCTATAACTAATTGTAAACATAAATAATTAAAATTCTATGGTCAACTTTCACAAGTAGTAATGGCATCCTATGTATGGTGGAAGATTATGCTCTATCATTGGTGTATGTGTGTCCGTCAATTCTACTGCCTTGCTGAATTTTCTGCCTTGTGTGTTTGTGTGCAGGTGTGCGCAGTCTGTGTATTTTTGCAGGTACATCTGAAGGTATGCATATGCCATCAATGCTTTTGTATCCTTAATTTATATTCATACTATGAATTCTGATACATAAACACAGTATGCATGACATATAAAACACAACTGTTGTGTTGAAGATGAGCGTTGGAAAGGAGTGAAAGTAAGACAGGCATGTGTGCCCAATTTGTGACCTTTTGGAAATATAGTTGGTTGAGTGGAGCTTTTGTATAGTGTGATAGTGTAATGATCATTCCCAAGGGGAAAAATAATATTGTGCTGCCTCCATAATGGAGGTTGGCTGCAATGTATCCCCTGCAATACGGAAGCATTATGTGATGAGTTCCCCAATCTTTCCCACTGAGTGACTCTGGTACCATTGCCTCAAAGCTGGTCTTTTTCTAAATCGCCCACTGCAGGAACAGAACCTTGGTAAACATCAAGGACTGCATTGAATTACCCTTTACTTAAAAGCACTAAGTCACACAGCTGTTGTTAATTTTCATAAAAGATGCACTGATATTCATTTTCTGCCTTCATCCCTGATGAAGGAAAGGCTCTCAGCCAACTCACACCAAGCTATCATGTCTGCTGCAATCTCCTGCAACTTTCTCTCTGTGTTGTCCGCATATTATTTATCTCTGTATTTCTCTTCTCCAAGTGTGTTTAGGTCTCCTACTATCTCTCTCACCCTGTGATTTCCACTGAAGGGACAATTAAGTTTTATTATCGCCAAGTTTTCTGTGTTTCCGATCTAGTGTTTCCTATCAAGTGTTAGTGTCTTTTCCTCATCTTTCCCTCACCTCTGGATTTGCTGGAATTTGTTTAGATTCTGATGTCACTCATGGGTATAAATGGCTGCTGCTTCGGAAGACTGCGCACGCATGGGTGTGCCCAATGTGCAGTGACATCGATTGTGAGAACAAAACACAAAATAACATTTTGTAGGAAGTCGGCATTCCGAAACCCAAGTTCAAGGTGCCTCCTTCGTGCCAAAGAACTGCATGGCTGTTGGGTGAACAGTCGTTAATGAAGGCTGTCAGGTCGTTGTAGGGGCGACGCCTGCTGATGGATGCAATGTCCTAAGTCCCTTCCCCAGCTAATAGTAAGGGTACTGCTGGGGCGACCATTTATTAACCCTCACATAATGCTTCAGGTCAAAATGGACGCTAGGCACGGCAACTTTTTTTTTTTTTAAGACGTGGCAAATGTTCTTTTTTACTTCTGCCATGCGGTGGCCATCGCATTTTTGCTCCATTTGTAGACTGGAAGCATATAGTTTCGTCGCCCAGCTTCTGAGTTGAGTGCATGGTATGACACTGTGAGCTACGTGTGTTTTTCGTCGGCACAAGAGATGAGCAACTATGGGGTGACCCGTTTGCTATGAAGCTGAAACTATTATTACCAGATTACCAAATGAAGTGTTTCCAATTGATAATCCAGAACAAGTGTGACAAACTAAGAGGATGGAAGAAATCACCAGCCAGTCTTGCATTACTACATGCTCAAAATATCATAGCTTACATGTCACTAAATTAAAGTCATTAGCAGTTATCTACTCTCATCGTCAATAATTTGAATCTTTTAGGTTTTAACAACAACAATGTCAAAGAACTGATAAGTAATGACAATGAAAGAAGGAAACATTACGTTATCTGCCGAACCTTTTTCTTCTTCTTCTTTGCTCACCCTTAAAAAAGCATTTTGCACACTGCGTTGTGGTTTAGACTGCAATATCCAATTTCAGCAAACTCTAAATTAGCCATACCACTTCTGATGCCGTGAAGGGGCATTGGATCTCTTCTTCTCACATCCCTCATCACCAAGGGGTCCGGGAACCCATGAAGACAGCCAGCAAAACATTAATGACTATTAGTTTTTCGACAACAACAAAGTCCTAGGCGATTAAAGAAAGAATAAATATCTGACCTGTCAAACCATTAGTTACACCTCCGCAGTATACAGTGCAATTGGTAGAACTGGACTGGTTGAAAACATCCTCGTAGACAAGTGGCTTGGCATCTATGAAACAGAACAATGGTTGACACCAGTGAGCATCAAAACACTAGGGATTTACATGTATCAACTAACAAGCATGATTACTAGAATCGTAGTGAAAAATAGGGGGCAGCTGCTATTAAGCTGATAACAAAAATACACAAAGGAGTGGACAATTTCTATTACTGAAATTAATGCGTAAATAACTGAAACATTAGAATCAAAAATAAGTATACTGTGTGTCTGCAAAGAACCATAATAACGAAAACAAAATTAAATTCTAGCAAAGAAATATGGGGGGTTGGTGGGGGGGGGGGGGGGGGGGGGGGGGGGGGGGGGGGGGGGGGGGGGGGGGGGGGGGGGGGGGGGGGGGGGGGGGGTTTAAAGAAAGACAAAACAAAAAACGGGAAAAGACATTTTTATAACAAAGACAATTTAGCTTGCTGTCTAATGGTGGTGAGTTGAAAATGTGGCTTTTACCCAATTTGAGACTGCATACAGCCAATTAATGCAATAATGTGGCCACACGGTTGACCACAGCTGGGTATATTATCATATAATTCCGAGCATGATAAGCTCATGAATACTTTACAGGACGAAACAAATAATCCTACTGTGAGCAGTGAAAACAGCACCTTTTAGTAAAAATTACTAAAATAAACAAACTAATGGTGAAAAAAGAAAAACAATATGACTAAAATAAACCAAACACACACACACAAGTAAACGACCCTTTTCACACCTCTGGAACACTGGGCATATAGTGTTTGACCTAGATTTTTATAGACCAAATGACTCCTGATGGGTGACGCATGCCGGCCACTTTTACTTCCAAGAGTATTAACTGGTACTCATTTTAAGGCTAGATCAAGCTGGGAGCCAAGGTCAATTACAAAAAAAGACAAAAGTATTGTATGGTATGAATGAAAGATTAAAATTCACAGTACCGATTTCATTGTACCAGGCTTTTTCTAATCATGCTTAATCTCTTATCGTAGGATGGCTGGCCATCTATTAAGTCTGTGGCAAACAGCAATACTCTGCAGTTTTGGCCATTACACATCTATTTCCCCCCCCCCCCCCCCCACCCCCCCCCCCCCCCATGAAGTGAATGGTGTAGTCAGAAAATGCACCCAACTATCTTATAGTGCAAGGCTTTCATAAATATACTGTTTACTGTTACATAACCATAATGTGGAGACGATAAAATACTGGGCACATCATAAAGACTGAGAATCATTAAAGAGACACCACAATGAAAAAACAAAAGCAATGAGCAAATAATGAGGCTATCCAATCAAAACCCTTAAACAAACATTGTAGAGAAAGGCCAAAGATGCTGGATCTTTTACTTCATATCGAAAGCAAGGCACAGGTCGGAACGGAATGGAGAATCAAACTGCAAGCCCTGTGTGACGTACAACAGAATGACAAGATGATGATCAGAAAATTGAGCATTTCTGTAAGGACAAACTTAACCCATAAAAAAAAAACACATTCAAATAGTGGCTTACTTTCTTTGACCACAGGGGCTGGCGGTTTCCTTGTGGCCCAGTTAGTTCTGATTGGTCGCGTGCCCAGCCATTGATTGTTCATGTTGTTAATAGCAGCTTCAGCATCCTGAGAACAGATCATACATCATACACAATTCAAGATTATAACAATAAACTAACTATCCTAGACAAAGTTAGAAATGATATTAACAGACAGACTGTAGGAACAATTCCAAGCAGCAAATTCATTGAGGAAACAGAAGATCAAATGGTTTGGTCATTAAGTAAGAATGCAGCCAGAACAACTACCATCGCAGGCGCTACACATGAAAAGATCGGAAGTGAAAGCAAGAGGCTGCCCTAGAATAATACAGACTGATGACATTAAAGACAGGGAATGACAACAGCCATTGCTGCCTATCAAGCAATGACAAGACAGAAGAAAAATGGTCACAACAGAAATTAAATGTTTCCATATTATGCTAGGTGTAACAAGAAAATTTCAACTCAGGAATGACGACAGGAGAATTGGCACAGAGCCAATACTGAACTTTATCAGCTAAAAAAAATCAAATGGTTTGGTCACGTAATAAGATTGGCAACAGACAGAGCACCATAGAAAGCAATATTATACAGATACAGTGTCGACCAAGCGGAAGATGGGCTGTAAGAATATCAGAGACACTGAAAAGTACTTTATGCCAAGCGAGCAGAAGGGCCTGTTCAAAGAACCTCTTCCTGCCTGGATGGTGTGCGGCATTCCAGGAGTAGAAGAAAGAACCACAGTAGCATGCACAGAACAAGGAAGCCCCAGATCACAATGCAGCAGACCAGACCAAAGGAAATACTCCTAATGCAATAATATCTGCCATATGGTTTCATTTAAAGAGTTCAGAATTTTCAGCATTAAATAAAACAATCAATCAGCAAGCAACTCTCACATCATCATCAACATGTCATTACTTCACACCATAATAACTCAATTACACAGTAAATATACACAACATAATGTGCAGCTTACTTCACACAACACATAGTGCATTTCATACATCATAATCGACACAAACTAAGCTGCATCTAATAAGTCCTTCTTCACATAGCACACTGTGCACCTCATTAGGTCCTACTCCAAACAACATGATGCATTTCGCAAGGACATTCTTACCGGACCAACTCCACACAACACACCATCCCTCTCACAAGAACAACAACACATAACACACCACCCCCTTCACAAGACCAACTCCACATGACTCAACACCACCCTCATAAGATCAACTCCACACAATAAAACATTCCTCTTGCAAGACCTACTTCACACAACACAACATCCCTCTCACAAGACCTACTTCACACAACACAACATTCCTCTCACAAGACCTTCTCCACACAACACACCGAGCCTCTCACAAGACCAACTTCACACAACACACTGAGCCTCCCAAAGACAACCTCACATAGTTCACTTTACACATAAAGACCAGGTAGACCCACACTGACCAGTTGATACCTAACAGACTCTGAAAGCATGCTGAGAAAGGTGAAGACAGGAATGCTTCAAGCAGAGTGGCAAGCTTCACTGGGAAGGTCATGGGTAGTGAGCATACTTTGGATCTTTTCTCTTGGCTATGCCGGCATGGTGGGTAATAAACAGGCATACAGATTGGCTGGATCTGCACCACTGGGTGGTAAACTGATACATGACAAGGGAGATGTGGTCAAGGCCCTTTGGGAACAAGCAACAGAATCAGTAGAGAAACAAGATTATTTTGGCAAGGGCATCTGGGTGTAACCAGAGGGTCTGGCTGGCTCCCTACACTCAGAGGAAAGGCAAGACGGACAAATAACCAGATTGTGACCGGTACCATCAGTACTAGAACTCTGCGCTGACTGCTAAAGATGACGACAGAGCACATATGGGAATGCCTCAAGTGCTGTGATGTCAATTCTTGACTCAACTCAACTGTCTAGTTAATACATAGAAGGAAAAAAAAAACATGTCAAATGGAACCACTGAGTATCCACAGGACTGTCAAGGTCTTTTAAAAAATAAAAACTGATAGATACTGTTCCAGCGATATAGTCACCCTAATTATACACCTCCCAATCTCAGTCATTTCCTCACCTGTTTATTTACAAATGACACAAAGCCATATCCTCTGGATTTCATGGTGGCTGGATCACGGATAATTTTACAGTCTCTGGAAATGATAAGGAAAAATACTTAGAAACACATGTAGAAAAACAAGCTGATGTGTTTACAACCAGTGCATTACTGTAACAATCTTTACACCTTTGTGAGGCTGATGATGGAGATGAACAATGTACAAGTTGGCCCATACTGCTATGATGCCTCCTACTTGACACTTCCCACATGGCCATGTATGTGTCTTCGATATGTTTTATTGTTGGGGAAGTAAAAAATGTGAAAGACAATAAATAAAGTACTTCTTCTTCTTCTTTGCGTTCACCAGCAGTACACTCTGGCGGAAAGTTCTGGTTGCTTGTCAACTACTGAACTGCAGTCCTGCTCCAGAACCTGAGTGTTGAGTGTGCATCAGTTTTACAGATCTCATTCTCTTTAATACACACTGTTGGTTCCTTGTCTCTGAGAGAGAGAGAGAGAGAGAGAGAGAGAGAGAGAGAGAGAGAGAGAGAGAGAGAGAGAGAGAGAGAGAGAGAGAGAGAGAGAGAGAGAGAAAGAGAGGGGGGGGTTTAGAGGAAGAGAGAAAGAGAGAGAAACATTGTCATTTCTCTTTTACCTTAGGAGATAAAGACAATTATATAACTATATTTTGGATACAACATGCACACAACTGATATGTCATGACCTAACTTGGTTTTTCTCTCTAAATAATGCACTATAAAAGTATAAGATACATGGAGGGAATCATGTGTAAACAAACTTACGTAACTGTACTTGAAATAACTTGTAAATATACAAAAGAAGAAAGAAAAAAGATGGAGAGAAAAAAAAAAACTACAAGATAAAATGTTTCAATGTAAATCTACACTGCCATGTTCACCTATGACCCTTCAAAAATGTTAAAGCTGTACATAAAACAAACAAGGGAAAAAAAAATACAGCAGAGCCACCTTACAAAACAGAAAGATCAGGATCTGGTGTTTTGTTATAAACAATTCTCAACTCTAAAGATGCCTGAAGAAAAAGAAGTGGAAACAATGAAAATTGTAATTTATGAAGTGGCAAAAGTAATCCAATATATAATACACAATACACACATTAGTACCGGTAACTGAGTAAGTGGGAATTTTAAAAGCACAGACAAGAGTTAGAAAAAATATAATTAAAAACAAAAATAAATTTAAAAAAAAAAAAATCTGGAAAAAAGTTTTCTCAAGTACAGCAAGACAAACAAAATATGTATAAGAAAACAACTGACACATTTTGTTTCACTGTTACTGTTGCAAATGTTCAATTCTCTGCACTCTTGGTAATAACCAGACCACTTGAAGTACCAGAAATGTGTCTAAGGTCCCCGGTGTGAAAGGCTTCAGCATCTGTGCAAGATTCCACATATAATTTCAACCCCCCCCCCCCCCCCCCCCCCCCCCCCCCCTTTTCCACCCCCAGTTACACAATCAGGATGTTGTTCCTCCATCACAAGTGATACCAATCTTTCTTCCATCCATCATGAAACTACAGTTAATTGTCTGTGAGGGATTTAGGACAATGACGGCATTTAACAGTGTCTGTAGGTAAAGGGCTTGTTATACAGGTCTTTCTAGTCTGTCTTCGCTGGAATCGCAGCCTATGGTAACAGCAGAAGGGATGAAGTTTCTTCTCTCTAAAGCACAAAACCGTACTGCAGAGACAGTGCCTTGCCATAAACCTTCTCTTGCCTGATTTTGTTACTCCAAAGGAAAGGTAACACTAATATGTTTGGGGGAAAAAGCATGCTGCAGAAGCTGCTCAGGCAGTGCTTTCTGTCTGACTTGTCTCAGCTCTGTATTAGATTAGCCTATGCATGAACATCAAGACTTCAGGTTGCATCACTTTTGTTCTAGGATAAGGGCTTGCAGCCTCTCAGGTGCTTTCAAAAATACATCTTCAGCATTCTGAGCCCTTGAGAATCACAGATGTGGATATCACCTGCTCCAGTGATCTCTGTGGCTGGCCTTCTCTTTCCAGTTGGTGACTCCAAGTGTTTGTATTTCTGTTTGTATATTATCTCTCCAACATCGTCTTGGTTTGCCTTGTAGTTTACTCAAATTCATCTCTTTTTGTATACGCATGTGCTTCTCTGTTACCTGCTCAAGAATACATAAGGTAACTTAAATGATCAAGTTATTTTCCTATTATGGGTAAACTTTCCAGCTGTTTCAGCACAAAACAAATATGGTTCTTCCTTAACTTTCCTTATACAATCTTGCTCGTAAGTGCACCCACGGTTCTTACACTGACAATTGTATTCACTCATTATAAATGCACATTTAATAAAAATTCCTTGCTGCTGCAGATTTTTCCAAATGTCAGTCTAATATCCCGTCTTTGTTAAGCAAATCTGTTGACACATTCTCCGATTGCTTTAATTTCTCCAAACAATTTTAGTTCCCGAGCAAATTCCACATTAGCTGTACATGTTTGTTTTTCAGCTTCTCTCGCAGTTAACATTACATGTTCAGTTTTAATAAACACTTGTCAAACATCAATAATTCTAAGGCCGTTCATTTCCCAGCAGCCCTAATTTCTACAAACCCAGCTGAAAATTCTTTTTATCATCAAGTGCCTTGCCGACTGGCATGGATGATCATGCCTCCACACAAGCTGGAATCTCCAACAGAATGAATCAAACCATGTGCTGAAACCCCTCAATGCCACGGGGGAGAGTAGAGGTGGAAGGAGGGGAGAGAGCTGTCAAGAATCCTCTCATTCTGTGTCTTCTGTCTCCTTCGATAAACTTTCCAATCATCGCAGCATGTTCTAGTTTCCCTCTTCTCATGACATGGCCAAAATATGATGAATTTTTTTCTGAAGGTAGTGATAAGTTGCCTCCAGCCTTTCTCATTAAGAAATTGTAAGCCAAATTCTATTGTTCTCAAAATGAAAAACAATACATGTAACTGAAAGGCAAAGCAGCTCAACTGTTTCACTTATGAATTTGCAGCAAAGCTGGCATAATTTACATATGATAAATACTCTGGCAAACAGGACAATGAATTTTAAGGACTTTGACATGATAAATGACTCCTAAAATACAAGAGGATAAAATACCAAAAGGCACACATACAAATTTGATAAAATTTAAAAAAACTTGGCCACATGTACCATTAGAGAAAAGAAAATGTTAGTAGTTTGGTGTCTGCCTGTTTATTAAAGCAAACATGAGCATTACACTTCTTCGGTTTTATTCAGCTTCTAAAATCTATGTGCAAATAATGAGTTTGTTGTCTGCCTGTTTATTAAACCAAACACGAGCGTTACACTTCTTCGGTTTTATTCAGCTTTTCAAATTTATGTGCAAGAAATGAGTTTGTTGTCTGCCTGTTTATTAAAGCAAACACGAGCGTTACACTTATTCGGTTTTATTCAGCTTTTAAAATTTATGTGCAAGAAATGAGTTTGTTGTCTGCCTGTTTATTAAAGCAAACACGAGCGTTAAACTTCTTCGGTTTTATTCAGCTTTTAAAATCTATGTGCAAATAATGAGTTTGTTGTCTGCCTGTTTATTAAACCAAACACGAGCGTTACACTTCTTCGGTTTTATTCAGCTTTTAAAATTTATGTGCAAGAAATGAGTTTGTTGTCTGCCTGTTTATTAAAGCAAACACGAGCGTTAAACTTCTTCGGTTTTATTCAGCTTTTAAAATCTATGTGCAAATAATGAGTTTGTTGTCTGCCTGTTTATTAAACCAAACACGAGCGTTACACTTCTTCGGTTTTATTCAGCTTTTAAAATCTATGTGCAAGAAATGAGTTTGTTGTCTGCCTGTTTATTAAACCAAACACGAGCGTTACACTTCTTCGGTTTTATTCAGCTTTTAAAATTTATGTGCAAGAAATGAGTTTGTTGTCTGCCTGTTTATTAAAGCAAACATGAGCGTTACACTTCTTCGGTTTTATTCAGCTTTTAAAATTTATGTGCAAGAAATGAGTTTGTTGTCAGCCTGTTTATTAAAGCAAACATGAGCGTTACACTTCTTCGGTTTTATTCAGCTTTTAAAATTTATGTGCAAGAAATGAGTTTGTTGTCTGCCTGTTTATTAAAGCAAACATGAGCGTTACACTTCTTCGGTTTTATTCAGCTTTTAAAATTTATGTGCAAGAAATGAGTTTGTTGTCTGCCTGTTTATTAAAGCAAACATGAGCGTTACACTTCAGTTTTTTCCAGCTTATAAAATGTACACTGCAACTGATGTGTCATAAACCATGCACTTTCAACATATGCTGATGTTTCTGTAGTGGTTTTTAATCATAAACTATGTGTACGTCTGATCAGTTTTAATATTGTATGTGGACAAAGGCATATACCCAATTTCTATCTAATCTTACTGTGGATGTATGAGTAAGGTAAAAGACCTGTTCAAGCCTTTGCTGCACTGGACCTTTGTTATAGTGCTGGACCTATAAAACCTTTTAGCACTTGACTGGGTTAAAGGTTAAAGCCAAGAGGATCCACTTTATTGCACATGATTTGTATCCCATATGGCTCAGTCTCTCTCCCTTCAGAATGGCTAACCATTGCTGAGAGCACTGCACAAAGCACAAAACTCCATAGCCCCAGTGACGATCCCCTGGAATATGCGTTAAAAATTGTATTAGTTAAATGAGCAGCACAGCTGTGAAATAACTCCACAACCTTCAGAGCGCAAGATCACTTTGCCATGGAGATGTTAACTTTGCCATGGAGATGTTAACATCTTGCTGCTTTCCTTTATTTCCAAGGGGGATGTACCAGTTTTTATCTTTAATTTCAATTATGTTTGGAAATAAAAAGTTCACATCACTGTAAATATTTAAATCAATTTCCCCCCCCCCCCCCCTATTTTCTTCCTTGTTCCTTTTATGGGGAAAGTGCATCAAACTGCCTGTTGTGTGCCCTTATGTGAGCAAGCTTGGTAACTTATCTTCCTATCAAAGACAGCGCACAGAAGCGAGATTTTATAAATCAATGGTTGTTTCCAGCCCTAAGCAGGAAGTAACCTAAAAACAAACAAAAAAAACTGAGGAAAATTAAAT